CAGACATTATCATATATATATATATATACACCACATAAATCTTATTTATTTTTATTACCAAATTTTGTATATTTACAGACCAAAAATCAAAAAAAAATTTGTATAATGCGCATTGCCATAGATCGATCCTCAGTCCCAAGAAGCAGGACATGCCAGCAAATGAGCTAAATATGATTTTTGAACATGTGCACGTTAACTTCTATTCCATTCACATGTAATACTATATATATATATGATGAAAATATTAAAGTGTTTTTGGATGACGTAATTGGGCTTGCCCGAAAATAAGAGGAAACTGATATACCATCAACAAATTTGCATTATCCGGCTTGAATCTTGAGGCATGACAGGAATCTCAAGGTAATCTTTTGAGCAAGAAACATTCAAACTTCAATTAAGAGTCATCCAAAGCTCCGATTACGTCAAACTTATAATCAAATAGATTAACTCGAAGAGTCAGACCCAATGATATCAAAATAGTCGAATCCGAGTCAAATCAAGCAAAATCAAGTCATTAAACAACTTTTGAAAGTTTTCAGACATATTTAGAAGGTCAAACGAATGTCAAATCTAGCAAGCCTACTGTTGAATCAAGCGTCTCAACAAGACTAATCCAACAAATCCAAAATTGCTCAATTCTAACATCTTTAAGGCACTAAAATGTCCATCAAACGCCTTCTGATTTAAAAAGGCTCTCCGGACCATCCAATTAAAATTGTTCATATTCCTGCATTAATTACATCCATACACTATAAATAGAGTCTCATTTATCTCATGAGAGGGATGAGATCTTGAAGCTTGAAGAAGAACTTGAAGGTTTAAGAACATGAAATCGACCTTCACTTCAGCTACCATCGACCGGCACCGACAATTGTCAATCACCACCAACCGTCGTTGATCACGGTCGGCCGCCGTTGCCACTGTCAAACACCATTGCCATCGCCGAATGCCGTCGATCGCCGTTGACTACTGTTGACTGCCGTCGACCACCGCTGACTGCCATCGATCATTGCCAACCGCCGTCAACTACCACTTGTCGGCCTCCACCGTTTTCCATCAGCCGCCGCCCACTTCTTACAATAAGTTTACTCGTGCACCGATGTTGTAACCCCGAAGAGTGTTCAACCTTTTCCCGCCTGTGGGAAGAGGGACCGTATATGTAATATCCAATTTATGGTGGATTTCCTCAATTGGGCTAGACCCCGTAATTTTTTCTTTTACAGTTTTCCATGTAAAAATTTCTGATGTTACTATTGATTTATCTCTCTTTTCTGAGTGTGTGTTGAATTTTCGTTCCACGCTAAGATGATAATTTGCTACTCAATTGCCACGAATTTTCTAGCATGCATCAATAATATTTTTGATATGATATTAATTATTTGAGTGCTATGCATGTAAATGTTAAAGTTCGAGTGTTAGAAATGTAAATACATAATAATTATGTGGTATACATGTTATATTTAAAAAAAAAATGCTAACAACATGAATCCCATGAGACCAAACATTCTTTAAGTAAGTTCAAGTGAAGCTTAAATAATAGCCACATGCCTAAAACAAAACAAAACAAACAAACAAATAATTAATTAAAATGAAATAGAACAAATATCTCATTCAAGATTGATGGCTTTCATCCCTATCTTAAGGATATGAACAAGCACCCCTTCCTATGTGTTATAAAGAATAGATTACTTCTCTAAGCATTTGAACTAATTCTTTTTTATTATTATTTTTTTCTAAGCATTTGAACTAATTCTTTTTTATTATTATTATTTTTATTATTATTATTATGTTATGTGACTCATTTGATGTGAATATTGGTGTAAATTTGGGTTTGCATATTAGGTTTGAGTCCGACTCAAAAATGACCTGACACTAATATAATCAAGTCGATCCAGAACTATTAATAAAATTCAAACACTATTAAATTATTTAAGATATTTATTACATTGTTGACTCCTTGTACCCCTAAAAGAAAAGGGACATTATACACACATACCACCCAATTCTTAAGTATCTACATATCTAGCACATAAACTTTACTTTTTTCACATTTATGCCACCCAAAACATTCCTACCACATTAAGATTCATGTATGCAAAAAATGAAATTTAGGTACTAGACATGTAAATACATAGGAATTGAGGGGTTATGTGTGTCATTCTTCCTTTTGTTTGGGGGAATTTGAGCTTTAACGGTGACTATGTTAGAGATAGAGAGCATGGCATGATTTGGAAGATAGATCATCACCTATGAGGAGAAAGAGATCTGTACCAACCAACCTCACAGCTGAACATAAGTCAAACAAATCAGATTTTACACCTCCAAAAAACACAAATCCTTGGCATAAATAAATTTTTTTTTTTAATATGCTGAGATACAACAAAATCCATGAAAAATACACCACTGTCCTTATTACTTATTGTGCCTCCACTTGATGCAGCTAAAAAGAACATATACACACAATGCCCATAACTCAACTCTGAGTTTTCCCATAAAGATTTGCATAAACAACCTTGGTCCTGTAAACAAGAACCAAACTCAATATAGCTGCAATAATGCAGAGACCAGACATTATCATGGAGGAAAGGAAGAAGCAGATAGCCCCATCACATTTATGAGGATGCTCTCCAGTCAGGAAATAGTGGCTCTGAGCTTGCTTTTCTGCTTCATAGTCGTATATATTGCTCGCGATGAGACCGGAGAATATGAGAGATCCGGCGGGGTTTGCGACCGTGAGGAAATTGTACAGAGCTCCAAAGTTCTTCAGACCGAAGAGCTCAGAGGCGGCGGCGGGTACGATGGCCCAGTGGCCTCCAAAGCCGAGTCCTATCAGAAGTGTTCCGATGTACATTGCGCCGGGCCAACCCATGGCGATGAAGAAGTGGCCGATGACCATGGCGGCTTGAGCTACCGCTAGAGCGACTGGCCTTGGATATGCATAATTGCTGGTCGAGAAGGGCGGGCGGATTAAAAAGATTTAAAAAAGAAACAGAAAAAACTACATATATACCACACAATTCTTATGCATTTACATATCTAACAGTCAAAGTTTGATATTTACACTTATAACATCTTAGTGTCATAAACTACTGGTGATAATGATATTTTTGATATGATGTCAAAGATTTGAGTAATTTACATGTTAAATATGTAAATACATAAGTATTATGTGGTATGTATGTAAATGCCCATTAAATAAATGAATTAAAAGTCAGAGATGAATGCGTGGACGTTTTGGTTGAAATAAATGAATTAAAAGTCAGAGATGAATGCGTGGAGGTTTTGGTAGAGTCAAAGAGTGGGAAAGAGGGAGGGAGGATCAAACATTCAAACAAAGTGTTATTTTTGGTAGCTTATGTCATTATTAGCCCTAACATGCGGATAAATGTTAAAAAAAAAAGTTGCAAGAAATCAATGATGAAAGAAAATTCAGGTAAAAATGTTGATTTCTGAAGAACAGATTTCCAAACTCATGCAAATCTTAATAAGAATGAACAAGAAATGAAAAACAATAATACAGATCGAACATAGTTAGGAGAAGACTCATGTTTAAGTATATTTGTGGTGACATGAATCATTGTTTTTGCGTTGCATGAAAATCCCACACACATATTTAAACAACTTATAGTAAGCATGAGACCAAATTTTTTACATGAAAAATCTAAGGAAAAACAACCGGGCTTAGCTCAGTTGAAAAAGTTCACCATGTTTGAAATTTACAGTGATTCACCTTTCTCTCATTGTTTTTGCGTTGCATGAAAATCCCACACACAGATTTAAATAACTTATAGCAAGCATAAGACCAATTTTTTTACATGAAAAATCTAAAGAAAAATAACGAGGCTTAGCTCAGTTGACAAAGTTCACCATGTTGATTGAAATTTACAGTGATTCGCCTTTCTTAGCTATCAAAGTAGGCATAATTAGAAGACAAACTTGTAAGGGTTGCATCTTAAACAATTTGAGATGTAAAAAATTAGCATCAAAATCTATGCTCAATTAAATGATATTTTCTTTTGGGGGAATAACAAGACAAATGGAGATAATGTAAGTTCAAAACTAGAAAACAAGAGTAAATAACAACATATCCATTTTATTTAAAATGTAAATTCTGGCATGGTTGGATGCACATAAACCATATATACTCATGAAAATGTCTTCATCTAACTTCAAAATTGGTTATATTCATATAATACTATGCCCAACATAACAGATTTACAAAAAAATAATGTCATTCATCATAAAAAAATTCATTTTTTTCACAAAAAAAAATTCCCCAAGCATTTAAAACTAGTGTCTTATCATTTGAACATAAACTTAAAAAACGACATAATAAACTAAAATTAACAGTAAGAATTGATGATGCACACTTATCATACCTCACAATCACCTCAGAAAAATATCCACCACCGACCCGGCCGAGAAAATTCCAAATACTCGTCATTGATACAAAAATATGAGTTTCATCATAATGCAAAGATTGGCTCATCTGCCCCAAATTATCAATTACTGTCAATCCTGAACCCGATCCTAACAGAAGTGAAATGAACAGAAGCCAAAAATCCGCCTTTATGAGAGCTTGACTCAATGTAAAGTTCTCCCCCCTCCGCGGCCCTTTCCTCCTTTTCACCCTCACTGCTCCATCCGCGGCCGCCTGAAATAGCTGCGCTTGCAAGTGCTGAATCCTCTTCCACCTCTCCATCGCCGGGAGCAAATCCATACCCTTTGGCTTCTCGTCCTCAACCTCACTTAGAATCACCTCATTCTGCTCTGCGAATTGGTCCGGTCGACTCGTCTCCCCTTTCTGAGCATCAGAAAGGAGCCGCTCTTGATCGGATGAAGCCGCAAGAGGGCCGCAGCTCAATATTAATGGAATTATGATAGGAATTGCTAGTAGAACAACCAATACAACAGTGAACAAAAAGATCACACTCTGGTGCAAATCAACAAGGTCTTCGAGGAGGAGGACGCCCATAAGGTAGGCAGCTAAGAGCAAGCAAACACTGTAAATAAACACGAAGCTGGTGTTATCTGACGGCCTCACTTGTTTGTGCCCGCCAACCGGTCTAACAATGAACATAAGAGCGATTACCACCATGGAAGGTCCTACGGCAACCATGAAGATGAGGGCGGCGTGATCGGGCGAGTGTATGGTCGTATATAACTGAGTCAATATTGCGCCACTCAGGCCGGCGAAGCCCTTAAGAATCCCTACTACTGGCCCCCGGCTCTTGGGAAAATTCTGCACGCAGGAAACTAGTGCGGCGGTGTTGAAGTATGTCTCCCCATTGCTACCTATAAATATAAGGAAGCACATCTGCATAATATGATGATTATCAGATCATTTATTACTGTAACTTATAGCAAAAATTAAGAAAACTTGAAGAGAAAGCAAAACAGCAGCGTGATACTGAAGTAAGGATGAATTACCCTGAATTAATATTTCATTAATTATCATTATTGTTAGGCTCATTTGGGCTGATTGGGGTTGGTTTTAAGAATCCTTATTTGTCGTTTTTGTTAATTACTGAATGTTGCTCCAGTTATTAGAATTTTTCTTATGAATTGAATTTGAATAACTTCTGTCCATGTTTTCTTCTATCTACCTTTTTTTCTCATCATCTAATCATTAATTGTTTCATGCAAATCAATTCCATTGCTTGACCGAAAACTCCAAATCTGTTCCAAACTGTTATCTTAACAAAAATGCTGACTTTAAAAATTGCTAAAAACAACACATTTATAGAGATTTCAAGTCCAACTCTTTCTTCCAAGACCTCAAGCAATGGAATATTTCAATATTACCCTCAAACTCTGATAGAAATGTTACTAAAATGTGAACCTTTGCACTTTACTGCAGAATCACAATAAATATCAGTACTGATTGGGATTTGGACTTTAATAGAAATCTAAGATAGCTTTTGTAAGCAAGAAAAAACTTAATCAATGAAAACAAAGGAAGAAGCCCAATCAATATAGCTTGAAACTCCAACAATGTTTAAATTAAAACATTAGAAGTAAATATATAAACCCAGAAGAGATTATTACAGTTCTAGCATTCTAATAATTAATATTAGAGCTTCAATTATGAAGCTTGTAACCACACAAAAAAGCTTCCAAAAATATGAATCAATACCAAATTACCAAAGGATCCAAAACAAATTAAAAATAAAACCAAAAGATCCATTGAAGGACAGCCCACATCGCACACCTTGGGGATTCAACTCAAGCAAGAATTAGTGAATCTTGCAGATCCAAAATTAGCATGCCTTAACAAGATTAAAACTTGAAAATTACTAACTCCTGCTAATCCCTATATACAAAACGAGATCATAAAAACACAGAACAAACACAAAAGAATCATATACAGAGAATCATCAAACAAGCCGAAATAATGAAAAAAAAGGTATCTTTTTAACGTTAAAGCAGAGATTTATTAATTAAACTCACCGCCCAAAGAGGAAGCGGGGGAGTCCGACCAGTGACGGTAAGCCAGACCAAGCCATATCCGATAAAATTCTGGAAAGAGCCGATAAGCAGCGCCATCCAGAGAGGGAGAATCTCACACAGAATTCCGGCGAGAAATCCCACGCTGTCGCCAATATCCTTCGCGACGCCCACTGCGGCGATCTGCCGCTGGTTATAACCCATCGAGTGCTTTATTACAGGCGACAGACTCCCGTAAACATAGCCGATCCCAGCACACGACTGCATCCACATTGCGCCAACGAACACCAGCCATCGGTTGTGGAAGAAGGACGACAGGTGTGCTTGGAATCCATCCATCCGGCAAAAAAAAAAATGATGGATTTAAAGAAGAAAGCGCCGATCTTTGAAACAAAAACCAGTAAAGATTGCTTTTTTTTCTCCTTATGCTTCTACAGAGTGCAATCTCATCGTCTTCTTCCCCGGCCTCACCAGCAATGGAGAGGGAAAAAACAAATTAAATAAGCGATCTGCGAAGTTGAGACTTGAAAAACTGTTCTTATGATGAAAGATTTTTATAACACTGGTTCGATTAGGGACAAAAATTTGAAAGGGACAAGAAAGCAGGGATTTTTATGGGGGGGTGATGATTGAAGACAGGTGTGGGAAGGGGCAGATAGATATTAGATGGATTGGTGCGGAGGGTGTTATCTTCCCAGGAGATATGGGAGTTAATAAAATCCCTAAATCGCCCCTAAATTTGCGGGCGATATTTGGGGGAAAGGGCAGATTTAGTAAAATGAACATCTGAGATCAGATTGGGCATCCTATTTCTTATTTGTTTTAACAGTGTTTTAACATAATACAGATCGATTTTAGGTTTATTTTTTAAATTAAGTCTGAGATTTTTTCATGTCTGTTACGTGGTGTTTTAAGATATTTTAAGATGGGGCATTTACATCATTACATGTATGCCACACAATTCTTATGTATTTACATATCTCAACGTAAAAATAATTATATTTACATGCATACCATTCAAATCTTTAATACGTCATCAAAAGTATTATCTATCATTATCTTTTTAAAAATGATTATAACTTTTCATGCATAGATTTATGAGACAAATGTGTTATAAATTTAAACATTAAACATTTAAGTATTGCATATGTAAATACATAAGAATTGTGTGGTGTGTATGCAAATTTTCCTTGTAGATAAGGTAGTATTGGTTTTAGGAAATTCCTATAAAAATAAGTAAGGGTTTATTTAGAATCACTTATTTTTTAAATTTATTCATTTAATGCGTTTTTTCGTTATGTTTATCTATTATTTTTTAAAATAAAGTAATCTATTTTTTAATAAATTTAAATATGTCTTTGAGTATTGTTAAAAACACAAAGTTTGAAAATGAGCTAATAAAAATAATTTTTAAGCGAAAGAAGTGATGTGTTATCAAGTAAATTTTATCATGCACGAATCTTGGAACATTTTGAGTCGCGTCTTATTTTTAACAAGTTTATAGCCAGACTTAGCATCTCAAGAAGACAGACTTAATGATATTAAAAGTAATTCAATTCTATTTCAAATTAGTCCATATTATACACTTGAAGTGTAGTCGAAAGTTTTGATGCATCAATTGAAAAGCTAAACAATTTCAAAATTTGACAAGCTTACAGTAAAATCAAGTGACACAACGAAAGAAATATAGTAAACCTAAAACCATCTAATTATGAAGTTTTTAAGACACTTAAATATCGAAAAAATTGCTTCTTATTAAGAGAATCAATATGAATCGTCTGATAGAGTGTTGGGAGATTAAAGAAATTTACAAAAATGCCTCATATAATTATAAATAGGCCTCCATTTTCACTTGAAGGAGAGGGATAAGAGAAGAGTCACTTGACTAGTAGAACTCTTAAGTTAGGCAGTACTCACTAGTTGCCAGAGATCATGGTCGACGACCACCAAAGGTCGCCATCGATCATTAGTGGGTATCATTGATCACCGGCCATTGTCGACCACCAACAATTATTATTTTGATAGCTCTATTACGGTTGTTATAACATCCTACAACTATGTCTTATGTAACCAACTGCAGTTGTTACCGTCTCTAACTATGACTTTAGAAGCTTTATTACGGGTTTCATAGCCATAAACTGCAACTTCTATAGTGTAATATGGCTTACATAGCCAACTATGAATATTCTAGCCCCACCATGCTATAGTGTAATATGGCTCACAACAGTTATAGTCCCTACTACTCTTATACAATTATATATGTTAGATTATTTCAAAGCAGCTATGATTTCAACATAATCTAGTAATTTCATCTTCTCTAATTCTCGGGAAGAGTGGATCTCTTTAATTATGATTATAGTGCAAATTATTTTAATTGGGTCAGACCATGTATTTTCTTCTCTTTTTAGGGGCTTTCAACATAAAAAATCACATTCTCTTACCATGAATTTTCTTTTATCAGTGTTTTTGTGTGTGTGCTGGATCTTTGTGCAACACAAAGATGTTAAATTATTACTATAATATCGCGAATTTTTTAAAATGCAACAATTTGGGGTCATTTGTAGGAAACATAGTCCCACCTTTTTATGTTTTCTAAGTGTAACACTCGCAATAATGTACATCCACAATTCTAAAGGATGGTCTCAAAATCATGACATTAGACCTCTACTTCTATTTCCTTAGATAGAAATTACTATATTGGCAAAGGAACCTCTTTTTTACCCTTGGAAGATCATGTGCTTATAATGAAGGAATCAAAAACAAAATTCTTTAGCTCTTATACAAGGATCAATAACTGACATCAATGCCAACTAACAGAGCTTACTAATCATAATATTAACCGTTGATTGGAAATGCCCAACTCGAGGATATTGATCTGATGCCCCCTCTTCATCTCGACCAAAAGTTGACCTCCTTGATATTGTCAATTCAATGCAATCATCTCTCTCATCGGCCTCAACATTAGTGCACGCAGTCACTTTCACCAAATTTGTGGTCATACCACCAAATCATGCCATTAACTTAAGCAATAAATTAAAAGGCAAATTCGGTAGGAATATTTGGACCGATTAATATAAAATAATCAGGCTCGTATGGATAACGCCCTGCTGAGGGGAACAAACTAAAAAGCAATAACAAATAAGTTTACCAATCCCTTTCTTGAGTGTGGTAGTAATCATATTTCCAAGAAAATGAATTATCCATATGGACCTACAACCCAAACTCAAGAAGCACATAATATTTTTGACACCTTATTTTGAGCTTAATCATTCCAAGGGGATTTGGTTCGATCTCTTCCACACATGTTAAAGTCATAGAACAAACTCAAGAAGCACATAATTCTTGATGGATTGCATTCGACCTCATCTGCACATCTTAATGTCGTCGATCCATTGTCCAACCATTAGCTTATGATATGTCAAAAATCTTCAGTGGATTATAATTGATATTGTCCACACATGTGGACATTGTTGAGTTATGCTCTAACCAATAAGCTATGATAGGTCTAACATTCTTAGTAGATTTCCTACGACCCCTTCTATACAAGTTAATGTCATTTAGTAGCACTTCAATAAATAACCTTGAAACGTCTAACATTCTTGATGAATTTTTTATGACCTTTTTTACACAAGTTCTTTGACAAATAACCTTTAATAGGTCTAACATCCTTGATGAAATTCTTTTAACCTCTTCTTAATAGGTTATTGTTAGGGCTGTCAAAACGGCTCGTTGTTCGCGAACAGCTGGTGTTCGACTCGTTAATTTCGTTCAATAAATTAACGAGCCGAACACGAACTAAGATGTGTTCGTTCGTGTTCGGCTCGTTTTGGCTCGAAATAGTACTCATCAAGTTTATATATGTATTTCGTTTGACAAATTAACGAGCCGAACACGAAGGTGGTGGCCTTGTATCACCATGATATTTGTTATATATATTTTTTTATAATCCCATATTTATTGAATGGTTTATTCTTTCCGCCATCAATATCTTATTAACAACTCCATGGAATTCCATGGTGAATAATGAATTTCTCACCCTAATTTTCATCATTATGAATCACTCGAGCATCTCTCGTGAACAGCTCGTGTTCAGCTCGTTAAGCAAACGAGCCGAACACAAATACACTTTTTGAGCTCGAAATATAAACGAGCCGAACACGAGCTTTTCGACTCGTTTACACCCCTAGTTATTGTCATCATGTTATTCTGTAACAAAAAACCTGAGAAGGTCTAACACCTTTTATGAAGTTCTTAGGACCTCTTCCATATAGATTTATATCATCGAGTAACACTTCAACAAACAACCTTAAAAGAATTAATATGCTTGATGGATTTCCTATGACCTCTTCATATATGTTAATTTCTTTGAGTAACACTCTGTCAAATAACCTTTGATAGGTGTAACAACTTTGATGATTTTTTAAAATCTTTTACATAGGTTAATATCATCTAATAATACTCCAAGAAGTAGTCTCTAATAGGTCGAACGTCCTTCATGGATTTTTCATGATATTATATATACATATTAATTGTGTATACATAACCTCAGATAGGACAAACATCTTTAATGAATTTCTCATAACATCTTATAGATAAATGACCTTAAATATGTCATCCATCTTTAGTCGATTTCTCATGGCATCTTATATGCATGATGACCTGAAATAAGTTCAAGCATCATTAGGAGATTTCTTATGTTCTCTTCTATACAATTAATGTTATGCGAATAACCTTAAATAGTTTGGTTGTTGCTCGGTCTGCACCGTTGGATCATTTCCATTTCTATGCTTCTATCCAATAATAAAAGGCATTTGATTTGACTCTCGCATATGAAAACTTAGACTAAAAGAGAAAATTCAAAGAAACTTTTGAGGCTTTAAATACTTTTAAGCTTCAATATTTCATCACATTCAAACCTACAATATTACTAATTGTGCCTTTTAATTATCATTGCTTATCAACGATGTTAGTGCCCAACAATTTCAGATTATCACTATCCTTAAATCATCATTGAATTTGTGTTGCTCGATAATCCCCAACACTGTTATATTACTCTTGGACTGTCAACATGATTGAGTTACTTTAGTCAAGCTGCCATCATTTGATCATCATCGCCTAAATACATAAAACCATGAATACTTGTTAATCTTATTCATGTCAACATCAATGCTTATTGAGTGAAAAAATATATAAAAATATGCATTATATACCTACCTTTAATTCATGTTTATTTCATCTTTTGGATTAGTTCTTTTGTATTTTTATCGAGAAAAGCTCATTACAAAAATTTAAAAGGATTTAATGACTTTTATTAGAGCACGTCTATGTCCTGCCTAGTGCCTTGACACCATGTTTAAATTAGAGATCACACAAATGCTCGATAGTTCAAGGCATAGGTACCATCCAACTAGAACCTAGAAATCAAAACTTAGCACTGCAATGCCATAGGTGTAGCGTTACAAAATCAAACAATGATAAAAAAGGAGTCCAAAATAGAGAGAGCCTAGGCATCACCTAGACAATGCCTAGAAGCTAAATCCAATGCTTCAAAGCCATTATTATTAAAGTTTTGACACTATTGAAGTCAACTCAAAGAACTAGGAATCCAGGAGCATGACACCTCAGCACCAATCCTTGAGCGTCACATCGCTTATCCCAAGGCTTAAGCACCATAACTGAAGAGTTGTTGTGCAACTGTCCCGACAAAATAGTTATTGGCATTAGAGTTTAGAGTTTT